CCTGAGAACCCCCCATCAGGCAAAGGGCGACAAGAGAAGCTGCCCCCATAGGGTTGCCATCTCTGGGTTGGAAAATACCTGGAGATTGGGGGGAGAGCCTGAGGAGGGGGGTTAGGGAGGGATCTTAATGGGGTATAATGCCACAGAGAGCACCTTCCAACGCTGCCATTTTCTCCAGGTGAACTGATCCCTGTCACCTGGAGATCAGTTGTAATACTAAATACTAAATCCAGCCCCCGCCTGACGGTTGGCAACCCTACGCCCCACCTTGGCCCACAGAATCGGGGTCCCCGCGGCGGCCCCACCGCCATGCACGTGCAATCTGCACCTTCTGAGGCTGGGCCATACGTGCATGTACCCCCATCCGACTCGCGAGTAAACAGGCGCCCGCACGGAGGCACGCTGATTCCCGGGGGACCCTCAGCGCGATCGCGTAGCCCGCCGCGCTGCCAGCGCGCAACCAGGGGGGGAGCCTGCGGGGCAGCCGCGCGGCCAGGGAGCTGCTCGCCCAGGCGGCCGCCGCCATCTTCCGGCGAGGAGGGAGGAAAAGAGGCCGGGCGAGTCGCGGAGCCCCGCCCGGCCGGATGAGACGTAGGCGGCGCCGACTTGGGTCGCACTGGGTGGGGGTGATTTTTCGGGGCCACGTTCAGACGAGTTGACCTGGCTTCGCCCTGGGGGCGTCTGAGCATGCGCACGAGCTGCCTCCGGTTGTGGGCGGGAGAATGTCGGGGGTGGCCAGGAAGCTGTTCTGCACGCAGCTGATCCACCACTGAACGGGAAGGCTTGATTACCCCCCCTGGATGTGGTCCACCCTCCCCCCATTACCAGGAAGGAGAGCTCTTCTCGTCGCCCCCCCCCATGATGGCAACTGGGAACTAGCTAAATTTATTTATTTATTTATAGGACAAAGTTAGAGTTCAGGGACACCTTTAAGGCCAACAAAGTTTAATTCTGGGTATAAGTTTTTGTGTACATGCACACACTTCATATGCATCTGACGAAGTGTGCGTGCACAGGAAAGCTTATACCCAGAATAAAAATTTGTTGGTCTTAAAGGTTCCACTGGACTCAAACTTTGTTCTGTTGCTTCAGACCACACACTAAATAACACACTTTCAATCCACTTTCAAAACACTTTTCAACTGGGTTTTACTGTGTGAAATGACAAAATCTATTTGCATATGGTCACTGAAGTGGGTTTAAACTGCATTATTTAGCATGAGTGAAAGTGCCCATAGGCTGGAGTGGCACACACTAAATAATCCACTTTCAATGCACTTTCCAACTGGATTTTGCCAGTTCGCACAGTGTAATCCAGTTGGAGAGTGCACTGAAAGTGGATTATTTAGTGTGTGTGACCGCAGCCTTGTTTATTTATAGTCCACTTTTGGGACTCACAGCTCTGGGCTGGGAAACTCCTGGAGATTTCAGAGGTGGGGGGTTGAGCCTGGGGAGGGGAAGGGAAGGAGGTCAGCAGAATTCAGTGGCATACAGTCCACCCTCCGAAGCAGCCATTTCCTCCATGGGACCTGATCGCTCTACTCTAGAGATCAGTTGCAATCCCTGGAGATCTTCAGGCCCCACTTGGAGGTTGGCAGCCCTCGACCACCTTACTTGCTGAGTCCGAAGCACAAATCCAGCAGGGAGAAGATTGGATTTATACCCTGCACTTCACTCCCCGATGGAGTCTCAGAGTGGCTTACAATCACCTTCCCTTTCTTTCCCCACAACAGACACCCTGTGAGGTAAGGTGGGGCTGAGAGAGCTCTGAAAGAATTGTGACTGATCCAAGGTGGAGGAGTGGGGAATCAAACCTGGTTCTTCCAATTAGTGTCTGCCGCTCTTAACCACTATATCACAGGTGGCTCTCTTAAGAGCAGGGGACTCTGATTTGGAAAACCAGGTTTGATTCCCTAATCATCCTCCTCATGAAGCCTGCTGGGTGACATTGGACCAGTCACAGTTCTTTCAGAGCTCTCTCAGCCACACCTACCTCACAAGGTGCCTGCTGTGCGGAGAGGAAGGGAAAGGTGATTGTAAGCCCCTTTGAGACTGCTTAGAGTAGAGAAAAGCAGGGTATAAAAACCAGATCTTCACTCCAACCATATCACGCAGACACCTCTGCAACTCACATAAGAATCTCAGCTCCCTGTGGTGCCCCCCCCCCCTGCAGGGATTCAGGTTCCAGGGAGTCATTTTTATAAGGTGAGAACACAGACACAAAGACAGTAACAAACAACTGCATATTCATAGAGACATTTTTGCCCCCCCTCCATCACCCCCCTTCACTAAGGAAAGCTACTCATGAAAAAGAGGAAGGAAGAGGGTTCACATCTCACCAAAAGGGAAACTGGCAATAAGGCAAAGCTCATGTTTTAAGCCAGCAGCAAACAGCAAAAACAGACAGAAGAGCCAAGACTAGAGCCCGCGCCTCAGAGACTAACCCAGGGGGGACCTCAGTGTGGTGCCACACAGCACCTGCTGACACCTTTCCTGGGGCCTGTCAAGTGGTCTTAGAAAGTGGGCATGGCCAGGTGGGCTTTTTTGAGTTTTTGATGTTTGTGGTATAATGTTGACAGTAGCTTTATGTGCAGATAGCGGAGTTACAGTCTAAAGACACAGCAGGACTTGATTCTGACTAAACGTGACTGGTTTGCATGGCTGAAATGGTTAATGCACCTAAATGGATATTCCCACTTAGAATGCATTTTAATAATTCAGGTAGAAGCTGATAATATCATCACTGCACCAATGTGCCCTCAGCCTCAGAAAGGCTGGGGAACCCTGCTTCAACCACATGCCCAATTGGATACATGCATGAATTTTAAAAAAATAATAATTACAGGGCATTTTGCCCTGTTGGCTCTGGGGTCGAAAGGAGCCCTATAAACCTGGGCCAAGAACTTATTTACATGTGTACAGATCAATGTTTCTAACTGTACAACTTTTAATAAGTTGTTACCTTTGTCTATAGTGGGGGAAGGGGTACTTTTCCAGTGCATTACTAATGATTGAAACAAACCCATTAAAACAATGCTGGGACACTTAATATAATTGGAGCAAGGAATCAAGTAACGGTTGAAGCTCAGTGTACAAGAATTTATATTGTCTCACTATTTGAAACCTTTCTGCCGCTGTCACCTGATACCTGCCAAATAAGAATAGGCCTGATATTGCAAGCAGTAATTCTTGCCTTCTTTTATGTAGCTCAATGGGAAATGTTGAGTATTACAAGTGTACCCTGTCTTCAATAACCAACTTATTCATTCTTTCCAGTCATCTATATTGATAGAATGATGAAATAGGGATTTTACAATTTATTACATCAGTTTAAAAACCTTATTTACAAAGCGTCAAGCCCATTTCAAAGGACTTCCAGGGTTTGGTAACAGTAGCAGCTACTAATTCGAAATAAAAATGATGGAATAATAACATGGACTTGTAGAATATCTTCCGTACATGCTTAAAATTGGCTATTGCAACAAGCCATTAAATAGAGACAGCTGAATTCACGAAGTTCAGCTACATAAAGGGCCTGTGGAAATTGTATATAAGTATTACAGTTGAGCTTTGAAAATACAATCCAGAGTGAGTTTCACAAGAGTGCAGAATATGCATTCCATTTCCCAAGAACTTCAACAAGTGTGGAAAGAGAAAAAATGTTCCCACCCCCTGTGTTTGTGAAATATGTGCGAAATTATGTGGGTGATGATTGCTGAAGTCTCAGAAGCCACAGTGGGACTGAATAAGACTTTTGGTGGCTGAGTATGGCATAGGAGCTCTGCCTGGCTCCTTCCTCATGATTAGCAAGACTAACTCCCCCATCCTAACCCCCAAAACCAGCACTCTTTGCCAGGAGCAAAGTGACACAGTGCCATCAGCGGTTGCATGGCCTTGGACAACCCCATTTGGTGTAGGAAGCAGAAGCAGCTCCTCAGCTGGCCAGATGTGTGCTCCATGACCATACCCATCCACTGGTGAGCCTAGTAGTTTGTGACTCATGCATTTTCCAGATGGCAGCAGCCTTTCCGATTTCGTAGGTGGGTGTCGTAGTGGTTCCAATGATTGCACTATTGGTACAATCAGTTCACACTTGCATCCCACCCACCCCCGGTCATGGTTCCATCTGTTCACATTCTCATTGAGGATTGATTTTTCTGGGGGGGTCAGGTTTTTTTTGGGGGGTGCACTGAAGCATTGCAGCGTTTCAAGTAGTTTCAAAGGAGCTGCGCAATCCCCATTCAAGTACATTCCTTGTCCATCACACACCATCACGCTTCCAGGACGAGCCTGCCCAAGTCTCCAGCACCTGTGCCCTTTCTTGGGGGAGAGGGTCCATGTGTCAAAATCGAACTCTCGTTTGCCATGTTGGGGAGGCAAATTCCTGAGGGAGGGGTGTGAGTGAGCAAGTGTGTGAACTGTTCTGTTGTAGTGGCAATGTAACTTCCTAAGATACCTCCCTATGAAGGGATGACCTTGGAGATGACTGTGCTTGCTTTGCTGTCTCAGAGAAAGTAACAATATATTTAGAGGGAAAAGGTCGCGAGGCCAAAGGACCCCCATCAAAGCCAAAGTAGATGGGACAATCCAACCTGGCTGCGCACCCCAGGGGACTGTGGGTGGAAGAGTCGATCTGACCTGGAGTGGAGACAAAACTCCAGAATGTTTCAAGATGACCCTGAGCGCGTGAGAATGGCTGGGGCATTGATGGATGACCCAAGTATCGGGTCTGGGCCAAGTTCTGCAAGGAGATGGAGGAGCTCCGGAGTGGCCTTCAAACCCTCATAGAAAACCTCCGGGGGCTCATCTGAGAACTCATGCAACAGGGGCCTAAGGAAGAAGAAGAACTGGCTGGGGGGAGGGGTGAAGAAGCACCACTGGGGCAGGGCCCTGGTCAACCACTCCCCCCTACACCGGCACCTCCACTGGTGCCTCCCCCAAGACCTGAGCAACCGAGAGATGTGCTGGACGTGACAAGTTGGCGTTCTTCGCCTTTCAAGTGTGGACTTTCCTACGGGAGTGGAGGCACACTTTTGCTTCCGATGAGCATCGCGTGGACTATGTGGGGTCTCAGCTGTGGGATCGCACAGCAGATTGGTTTGTGGGGCCGTTTAACGTCAGAGGCCCCAAGCTCCGAGTTGTGGATGTTTTTATGCAAGCCCTGCACCGGCAGTATAAAGACCCGCTGGAGCTGAAGAGGGCAAGCACCTGCCTCCGTGGATTGCGGCAAGGGGCCAACTTGGTCTGAGAGTTTTACGATGAGTTCAAGACCTATGCTGTGAAGCTCCAGGGGTGGCCCAAGGAAGTAATCATTGAGTTCTACCATGCCGGGCTCAACCCTACCATCTTGGACAAGGCCCTAGCTCAGGGCAACCCCCTGATGCTGAATGGCAGGAGCCAAGTGGCATGTGAAGTGAGAACAGGTGTAACTTGATGCGTATGTATCACCCCAAAACACCAGCGAAGGGGCTTAGCGGGGGAAAGATGCAGTGAGCCTAGACCCTGGGGGTTGGAGGTGATAGAGAGCAGCAGATGTGGCTGGGCTTTTACTTGCGATGCAAAGCCCTGGGCCACTTCGCCTTGAACTACCCCAAGGAAAAAAGCCGCACTGGGGTGAAGAAAGAAGAGAGCAAGGACAAGAGACCCAAGCCACTAAGGCTCCTTGTCAAGTGAGGGAGAGGTGCCTCAGCCGGCAGGAAAAGGCTGGGAATTGCTGTGAAGAGTGCCAGCGGGCAGGTCCGAAAGTCATCAGCGCAAGATTCGGTGAGACCTACCTCCCCCCTCTTTTATTTGACTGTTTTTCTTACCGTCGCATTGGAAAGATCTCTTTCTCTGACAGTCTGATCGGTTCGCTGAATAGCTTCTTCAAAACCACTCAGCTCTTCAACAATTCTTCATACCTTTGCTTATTTTGTTCTTTGTTCTACAAAAATCGTAAAAAAACCCCAAACTTTATTTTTCTGAGGGGAATTTACCTCAGGCCTTTGGGCCACCCCCAACCGTTAATCTCTGTACCACTTCTTATGGAGAAGAAGTGGGGATTTTTTAATAGGTGCCAGCGTTGCGGAGCCAAGCTTGCCCCTCCCGACAGGCATACCCTTTGTATTTTTTGTCTTGGGGAGTCACATAAACCTGAATCCTGTCATGCTTGTGCTCGTTTCTCGAACCAAACGAGAAAAAACCACGCTACGCGCCTTAAGGTCACTCTCCTGGAATCAGCACTCACCCAGGCCTCAGCCATGGAAGAGAGGCTGTCCACGTCGACAGCTCCGACACCGAGACCAGCCTCCGATGTCGACCGTCCGACACCGAAACACCCGACATCGAAGGCACAATCCTCAGCCTCCACGCCTGTAAAAAAGAAGGCTACGGCAAGTGTGGACAACAAGTCCGCTAAGAAGGGCTCCTCTAAGCCTCTTAAGGTGGCAAAGAAGGGGAAAGAAGCGGTGCCTGCACTGGGTAACGTCCCAGTAGTGCCTCCCGCTCCAACGGTGATATTGATATCGGAGGCCCTAGCTCCTCCACCGGTACCGACCATCCAGGTCTTGGATTCCCCCATCCATCAGACGGAGCCTCCTTACTCCGATGTTGAAACGGTGGAGCTCCTAAGTCACCAGATGGGTGCAGAGCATTCCCCGCCTCCATCTCCGTTGTTGACGTCGATGGTGTCCGAAGCTCCCGACGTTGATCTGCCTCGACATCGATACACGACTTCTGGCAAGCACCGTGATCCTCTATCTCTCTGCGCTCATACGGTCGATATTGACACTAGAGAGTACAGAGACCCGTCTTGCAGACAAGTGGCTGCTTGCTCTCCCAGACGTCCATGGTCCAGAAGTCGATCACCAAGAGTCTTAATACCCCCTCCACCTCCGATGTCGTGGGACCAGCGTCAGCTGCGTTACCTTTATGAAGCATATCCACCATCCCTACCGTGGTTAACACCTGCTGATTATTCTGATTGGGACCGTTGTTCTACCCAATCAGTTAATCGGTCAAGATCTCCATACATACCTTCGGCGTCCTTGTCACATCTGCCTATAGTCGATCCGCCCCACCATGCTTCGGAGCCAAGTCGTTCACTAATCCCTCCTGTCAACACAAAACCTGTCATCCCAGACCTGGTCGTTCCTGTTGTCCAGCCTGAACAAGTGTCCACAGGACCGAGATTCTTCTGACTCCCTCCAGGAGGATTCAGATAGAGGCTTCTGAAGTTCACACTTCTCCCGACCACAGATCTCCGAACCCAGATATTTCTGAGGACTTGCCTATATCTCCTTCAGATAATCTGACATTTTATACAGATCTCATGAAAAGAATGGCTCATTCCCTGGGTCTCTCTATTGTCCAACAACAGCATCAGACGTCAGACACGGTCTACGATATCGTCCAGCTCGATGTCTCTTCCACCCTGGCATTACATATGTCTTCAGTTCTTCCTCAGGCAGCAAAGTCACCGTGGTCAAAACCCTCTTCAGCTCCTGTGTCCACAAGAAAGTTGGATCACATGTATAGGGTACAGGACACAGAAGCAGAATTTCTCCTTTCTCATCCTCAACCTAACTCCATGGTCATTATGTCATCCTCAAAATCCAGGAAGACGCATTCCACCCCTACAGATAAGGAGGGAAAGAACAGGATGGAAACTAGGTCAAGGAGCCATCACTATATAGGAAAAACATAAGGACATCCTATTTTGGAGTAGCCAGTGGATGCTAAGTGTTCAGATATAATGTTCTTTCGGTTTCCACTAGAAGTGCTGCTTTTTTAAAAAAAAGAGGATTTGTACTTACCTTTGTCAGACTGTGTGGAGCACCAGTTGCTGCAGAATTGTCCAAATTACCTCTTGAATATTCTGGATATTTTCCCCCTCAACAAGAGGGGAAGGCAGCAGATGTGTCCGTAGTGTCCAGTTGGTACAGTTAAGGCATGATATGTGGTGGAAATGTTGTAAAATTTGTAAGTTCTGGAAAATGGTACAAAAATTCTCTGTGAAATACTGAATATAGAGATTGAGCTTTTGCCCGAAATATATCTTTTGAATATGATCCCGAGAGGATATAAAAAACAAGATAAATATCTGATAACATACATAGTAACTGCGGCACGTATACTAGTGGCAAGAAACTGGAAGACAGATAAAATACCCACAAGAGAGGACTTATCTATTAAACTCATGGAGTTAGCGCAAATGGACAGTTTGAGTCTAATATTACAAGATAAAGACCAAACATGTCAGGAACAAAGGTGGTTTAGGGTATACGAATGGTTAGATCGTCAAAAGGATTGATAAAGATATAGAGTGTTATGTATAATGTACAATTATGAAAATATAAACCTTCAACTCAAAAATATGTATAATCTAACATGCTGAAGTATGAAATGTTATGAAAAATCTTTCAAAAAATAAAAGTTAAAAATAATAATAATAATAATTCCCTTTTGAAGCTGTCCATGCTTGTAGCTGCCACCACTTTCTGTGCCAGTTCTTTCCAGTGGGGTAAAAGGATATCATGCTCATATTATTTTGTCAAGCAGAAGGCGACTCAGATCTGGTCAATAGTGCTTCACTCTCACTGACAGTTTGTATAATTTTGTTTGTAGAATGGGTAAATGGCTGGCACTCGTTCCATCTCCCTCAGGGGCTCAAGAGTTTTTGACTTTGATATGTGAGACGAATTGGGCAAAGGCTATTAATGTAATCACAGCTGCTTCCAGGTGAGGGCATGAAAACACCTCTGTTGTAGCAGCATGCTGTGTGGGAACAGCATCCATGGACACACTGTTCCCATGTTGTGCCTGCACATTTCACAAGCCCTTCCCAGCCTGCAACCCCCTTCTTTAGAGTCTTCTCCCCCCAATTGTGCTATGGTAGCACAGCATGGCTCAATTTAAAAAAAAAAATAGTGAGAAACCTTTTTAACAACTGAAAGGGAGGGGACATGCCGATCTGAGCTTCACACCTAGTTAGCTACAGGGGAATGTCCGGATGGATGCTCCACGAATAGTTTTCCTTTTGTTTTGGAGGAAATGAGGCATACATTTTCTCAGGATAAAAGGGGGGGGGGTTGTGCATGATGTAATCTTACTACTCTCCACTTCAGGAATTACCCTATGTCAGATCCAGGATTTTAAAATATTTTATAAGAAGACAAGCAAGGGAATTGCAATGGAGGAAGATGATCTTCCCCATGTATTCTTCACTTTCCCTCCCCCAGCAGCCCCTGCGGTTTCTCCCCTCCCTAATTCTGTCCCTCTCTCCAACCCCCAGTTTTGTGGTCCCTAAATTCTTGATTGTGAGTTCTTCTGATTCATATTTCCAGTCAAACCAAGTTCATCACTTCCTTGTATCTTGCTGGGTATTGCAAAATCTGCCAGAATTTCTGTTGCTGTTATTAAATGCCCGAGGTCAGTTGCAATGGATGGATGGATGGAATGCAACTGAACTGTAAGAGGTCAGTGCCTGGAGGCAGCAGTCCATAGGAGAGCAGACTCTGAAGATGGTACTCTCCTGGGTGGTAGTGAAGCTGCCCAGAATGAGAGCCGCTGTTTCAGTCTCTGGCTGGTAGGTCAGCAGAGCCAGCCACATCACCTCTCTTACTCAAGCTAAAAATTCAAGGATTGCACTGAGCTGACAGGTTCTGTACCTCCTTGTGGGTTTTAAGGATTTTTGCAGTGGTAGGACAGTTACCATGCCATCCTAAACAGAGTAACACCCTTCTAAGTCTATGTGTAACAGCGGCATCCTAAGCAGGTCTACTAAGAATCCTACTCAGGCAAGGTCAGTGAGGCTTACTCCCAGGAAAGTGTTCTTGGGACTGCACTGTTACTGTGGTGTTTGGTGTAGTGGTTAGGAGTGTGGACTCTAATCTGGGAGAACCAGGTTTGATTCACCACTCCTCCACATGCAGTTGCTGATGTGACCTTGGGTCAGCCACAAGTTCTCTCAGAGCTGTTCTCTCAAGAGCAGTCCTCGAAAGAGCTCTCTCAACCCCACCTACCTCACAGGGTGTCTGTTGTGAGGAGAGGACAGGAAAGGAGATTGTAAACCACTCTGAGACTCCTTCAGGTAGTGAAGGTCGGGGTATAAATCCAGTCTCTCTCTCTTCTCTTGTGTGTTTTAAAGATATATTTTATTTTTGCCACTTTGGAATTACCTTTTTGCTGACGTACATAAAGTGACACACAAGTACTATAAAGGTAAAGGTAAAAGTTCCCCTGCTCGAAAGCCAGTCGCGTCCGACTCTA